GCTTGCGGGACTGGCCTAGGGGAAACTTTTAGAGGGGTTTTAATTATATTTTAATTAGATTAAATTTAAATATTTCCTTTTTAATTAATTTTAAATTGTAATGTTATTTATGTATTTTATCTGATTGTTAGCCGCCCTGAGTCCGCAAGGAGAAGGGCGGGATATAAATTTAATAAAATAAATAAATAAATAAATAAAAATTTGAAACGACAGTCATTGCATGCACATTTCTGTGTCTGTAAACACCTAAATCAAAGGCTCTTTTGGTTACTACAGAAAGAGCTGGGATGAACTAAAATTCGGTTAATGTTATTTGGGGTACATTTGGTGCCATAAAGTTCTCAAGGAGAGTAACCCACCTTACAGAATTCAGTTCTCAGTGCTGTGGAAATAGAAATATCAATGAGTATTTAATAGTTATTAATGCTATTAAAGAAAGCTTACACCACAATTTGTATAGCGTTAAATTACTCAGATGACCAAATGAACCCTCTAGAAATGCAACATGTATATGTTTTTCTCCTTATACCTTATACCTTGACTTATCTCTTCTTTCCTTTATATACATTAGTTGCTCAGTGCTGTGTTCTTTCTATCTCACTGGAAAAAAGCTCAGTAGACTTGAGTCTTGACCAACAATATGCAATTGTTGATCCAGAGCAGAAGAGGAAGAAAACAAGCCCCCATTTTTTCCCCCTTTAACTTCTATCGGTTATTTTATTTTTTATTTTTTTCTAAAATAGGTCCAGTCTGTCCTACGGAGGCACTGGAATCAGTACAGGATCCAGTTTGAACACAGTTTTGCCCACTCCGATGGTCTCCGGTCAGCTTCTTATACAGTTTCTTCCTCCTTCACTGATGGCCAAAGCTTCAGTTTTAACCATGACTGCACCAGTGAACATTTAAATGGCAAAAGCTTTAGCGAGATGGAAGATGTTGCTTTTAAACCCGAAAAGCTGTACGGGTGATCACAGAAGATTGTCAGTTCTCATCAATATATTATTTCAAAACGATGACTCCCTGAGCAGCAGTGACTTTTGGGGAAAATGGTTGTTCTTGAAAAAAATGCAATGAGTTCAATGTGTTTATTGTGTCCACATGCATTAACATATCTTCGCATGTGAATGCTTGTATACAGGAGCTGGTGACACCCAACCATTGGAATGTTAAGCTTCAACCTCTGGATTTAAAACATTCAGAAAGATGCTGGTTGAGATTTTAATGGGATCAATCATGCCCTAATTAGATCTGTACTTGTATATATGTTTTCAGCATATGAATATATCTGGAGATAGATAAACTTTGCCTCTTCAACTTCTACTGTGTAGACAAATTGGGCAATTTATTTTGTATGAAGGGAATCAAAGAAAGTTCTGTATTTTTTTTCAGCCGTTTGTATCATGAATGGGTTGTTATTTTGTTGCTTCAAAACTTGTATATACGGTATTTATCATATTCTGTTGTCTTAAATGCAACCAACCAACACAGTCTAAATCTTGAAAAAAAAATCGCTAAATGTAAAGCATTTTTCGGATTGACTGTGCAACATTTATGTCTGACAAAGATGGATACAAACCAATCTGCAATATTCTAAATAAAGTGGACTCCAATTTACTAGAAATATGAGGGCCAACATTTTCAAATATTCCTTCCACACTATATATATATATAGTGTGTGTATATATTGCAGGACATGTTTTGAAGGTGTTATGGCAGTATTTGTGGTTGATTTGTATTCAGTAAAGAAATTAGGTGCCAAGTTTTTTTAAAAAAAGTATGGTAATTTGCAAATAGACTTCTCTGATTGGGCAGATGCTTTGATAAGAACAACAGAAGACAGTGCAACAACAGAAGACAGTGCCTTTTAGGGAGCAGAGAGAAATGATGAGGCTCATACCCTAATTTATTTATTTTTCCTGAGTGGGAACCTTGGATAGGAGAAATCACTATTAGAAGACGGGATCTAGTAACAGATGTAGCATACCCACAGGGCTCCATGATCCCACAGCCAGAATGTGGAACACTTATAGACAATGTTGATCTTATCCCTCTATAACCTTTGCAGATGCAGAGACATTCTCACTCAACATCCTAACTAGAAATGAGTTGTTCCTACTAGGGTGAGCAAAGACCAAATGTTAATCATGCTGGGCACCCCAATTCAGACACCTAAGCCAGGTAAATTTTTGGCTTCATTTATACAGATGTTAGCCAAGCACTAGTAGGGTTGTTTAGACCTTGACTTTTTTTTTTTAAGAGCTAATGAGAAAAGAGCAGTTCTTTCCTTCCATTGACGACTGGAGGAAAGGGAAAGAAGGGCAAATTATTTTCCCTTTTACAGCCCTTCATATAATCTCCAAATCTACCCTGGATGGTTGGGGAACTTTCTAGAGCCAGTTCAGGAGGAGCTGAAAAAGTGAAATTAGCAGAAATTGATGTTGTGCTGGCAAGTTTCCAGTGCGAGTCCTTTGATTTTTGTATATGTGTGTGCTTGCCTCACTTTGTTCATTTGTAGAAAACGGATGAAACGGCCAATGACGCCATCCTGTTGGATCTTGTATAAAATCCTTAAGAGGCTACAGTTAGCACTTTGCATTAGCAAAGTGACCTCTACTCTTGTCTGAAAACATGGAAGCCACATGGAAGTCAGTGGGATTTGAGGCCATCTTAGTTGTCTGCAAAATTGTAGCTGTAGCCTTCTGAAGTGAAGCCTCTTCTGGTTTGCATATAGAAGAACTGGTTTAACTCTGTGTTGCCTGAGATTATTGGGTTTTATTCTTCTGCCTTTACATACATTCAGAAGTGGTTTACCAAATGGATAAAACCACTGTTACTGTATTTTTAATCGATTCAGAACTGTGCAAAAGATTAACAAGATAAATGTCTTTCAAGGAAGTTTGGTAAGAACTTTATGCTGTGCCTTTGTGAAACATTCTTTTTTTTAAAAAAGAAGAAAGGTAAATCTTGTATACTGAATAATAAAGATGCAAGAGCACACGAAGTTAGGTGAAATAAACCTTTCAAAACTCCTAAAAATATTTTGACTGTAATTTAATTTGAAAGCACAAGACTTGTCAAGTTGCTGTTGTTGATCATGCATGCTCCAACTGAAGTTCTTCTGATGCCTGAAACTAATGAACAAAATGTCAAATTCAGCATCTTCAAGCAGAATCTCTCTCTCCAAGTAGCATGTGGATTTCCTCTTTTCTCAGAGTTACACACTAATTGTCATTTTTCAACCTGTCAGCAGCTATTTCGTTAATATTTGAGATGCCTTAAGAACTAACTGCTTTATCTAGGTTCACATCCAACTGAGGCTATAATGTAGCAGATTTCATTTCAAATTAGCTTCTTTTGTCAATCTAACCCAGGGGTAGGCAACCTTGGCTCTTTTATGATTTGTGGACCTCAACTGCCAGAATTCCTGAGCCAGCCATGTGGACCTCAACTGCCAGAATTCCTGAGCCAGCCATGCTGGCTCAGGAATTCTGGGAGTTGAAGTCCACGAGTCATAAAAGAGCCAAGGTTGCCTACCTCTGTCCTAGGTCCTACTAGATGTCAGTGTTTCATAGAAGGGGCCTGGAGTAGGCCTTGATTGGATTTCCTGAGATGGGCAAAGTCAATGCAAAAAGGTATTGCTCAATCAATAAGTGTATCTATGTGGCAGGGAATATTTACAATGTGACTTTGTGGCAGTGTTAAAAATACGCCATTTCAGACTCTGCAAATCCCATTCAGCATGGCTGGCTCAGGTATTCTGGGAGTTGAAGTCCATGAGTCATAAAAGAGCCAAGGTTGCCTACCCCTGATCTAGTCATTAAGCAGTTCTTGTTTAACCTTTGTGGGTGATTCAGGCTATTGGGGCATGTTCCAAAACTGATATATAACGCCAACCACTGAAAAAAATTGATGACTTTATTATCAATAAGCCTATGGGCAAATTTAGGTGACAATTGGTAAATGATTATATTTTACTTTTTCATTGCATGGGCAGTGGACTGTATTTATTTGGGTACTGTAATTGCTGATGATGGCACACATTTGAGGTCCTTAAATCTCTTTGTTTTGAAAACCATGACGGCGATCAAGATTATGTCCAAGCTATGATTATGCAAAAAAAAAGCTACAAAAATTATTTTCTTAAGAAAGTATTTTGGGGGAAAAAAATATTGTTAAGCTTTTATCCTTCAAACCAAAACTAAGTGGATAATTATGTACGGCAGCTCAGAAACAAAACAAAACAAAATCCAACAACAGCAACCAGCTTCCCCTGTTAGATGGTTCCACATCTTCAGCCCAAGGCTAAGAAGAATGTAACAGCTAATGTAAATGAGACAAATGAAGCAAAACTGCATAACAGAAAGCAGGTCAGAGAAATCATATTTTCAAGAAATGGATTTGGACTCTAGTGTTATTTGCGTAAAGTAAGTCCAATGAGCTAACATCTGGAATCACATCTGGACCCAACCTGCACAACAAAATGTGATGTTTTGATTCTAATACATGCTCCTTCCATATGCTTTAACTGTTTCATCATGGAAAGCCAAGTGCTTATTTTCCAGCTTTTTTCTTTCTTTCTTTCTTTCTTTTTTGGCCATGGGTATGGTAACTTCCTCTCTATGACGTAGGAGAAGATGATTTCTGAGAAGCTGTAATCTTCTAGAATACCATCTTGCAGATTACAACGTATAACGTCATTTTGGTGGGCACAAATCTGAAGACAATTCAGAACAGACCACAGCTAGGCCCACTTACTAGGACTCTTTATTTTTTTTAATTAATGAGCAAGGCATTGCTTTGAGAAGATAATTTGGAACACCAATGAATGCAAGATGGAATATTTATTTTATAGAAGACAATGGAAACTGATCCGTCAAATGTTTCTTGCCCCAATCTTAATACTTTACTGCTGTACTGTCATAAGTCTGAATGGAAACAGGATGGCGAAAATATTCTCTCTCAGAAAGCTTATTCAAGCAGCCACAGGATGCTGGACAAAGAAGAAATTTCTCTGAATAAACCAATCCTTTAGTAGCTGTTCTGCACTTCGTGCAAATAATAAACAATATGAATGGTGTATTATTTTATACATGTGACTATAAAAGAAAGCTCTTGAAACTGGCATTTTAGACAGCAGTTTCAAAGTTCTTTTAAGAATTTGTCACTTAAAACATGCAAGAGGACAAGGCAGAAAGGCATTCACTTTACTTTTAGTATCTAATAAAAATAATTCTTAATATTGCAGGATATTACTTCAAATGAATGAACATTTTTTTTTGTAAATTAGGTCAGTTTATGAAATGTCAAAAATCACCATTTCCTAAGTATTCCTAGAATAACAGAATAAAAGAGTTGGAAGGAACCTTGGAGGTCATCTAGTCCAACCCCCCTGCTGAGGCAGGAAACCCTATGCCATTTCAGACAAATGTTGTCCAATCTCTTCTTAAAACCTTCCAGTGTTGAAGCATTCACAACTTCTGGGGGCAAGTTGTTACATTGATTAATTGTTCTGACTGTCAGGAAGTTTCTCCTTAGTTCTAGGTTGCTTCTCTCCTTGATTAGTTTCCATCCATTGCTTCCTGCCCTGCCTTCAGGTGCTTTGGAGAATAGCTTGACTCCCTCTTCTTTGTGGCAACCCCTGAGATATTGAAACACTGCTATCATGTCACCCCTCGTCCTTCTTTTCTTTAAACTGGACATATCTAATACCTGCAGCCGTTCTTATATGTTTTAGCCTCCAGTCCCCTGATCATCTTTGTTGTTCTTCTCTGCACTCTTTCTAGAGTCTCAACATCTGGGTGATTGTTGGTCTTCTCTCAGTTTTACTATCATCATCATCAGTAGTTATCAATGTGCAGACTGTTTCATGTTCATCTTAGGAGTGTTGCAATTCAAACAATATTCAGTGTTGAAAAAAGGATAATACTGTATGCGTGCATAATGTGGTTGAAAGAAATGCAGTTTAAAGGAATTGGGTAATAGATAATTTATTGTGTGTTCTTCCTTGCATTGCAGCCACAGTGCCAAACGATTCTTAAAACACTGAACGCTGTTGATC